GGACCGGAAGTACTTCTGGTCCACTTCCAGGTTTGCTGCCAAGCACATGGAGAGCCCCTTGCACTCCTGTGGGACACGGCATCCACCCCAGCATCGCAGCGATCATGAGCCGCACCTGCTACCTCAAGGTATGTAAAAAAAACTTTTAAAGCCATGTCTGTGTCTGAATTGCTGATTCTTTGAATCAGTATCGAATCTTCAGATTTGGATTCGGCTGAGTTGAATCAGGGACAGTGATCCGAATCAATGAATCGAATCACTGTGCCTGACTCAGGCTGAATCTGAATCCGAATCAAATAGGGTCCGCTTCGCACACCCCTAAAAAAACACCTCTCATTTTTTTTTTTAACTGACTTAATGCCATTCTCAAGCATTTAAAGCTAAGTGTATACAGGCAACCCCTGCTGAACGCTGTTTCGCGTAGTGCTGTTTTGCTATAATGCTAATTTTAGACTGATACCTGATTTCACGTAGCGCTCAGTGAGTTTCATTGTAATGCTCACAGTCACCATCTTGGATCATTAAAAACAATTGCGGTCGCCATCTTGGGTCATCAAATACTTTTGGTTTCACTTAGCACTCATTTCATTTAACACTCATTTTTTCAGGAACCAATTAAGAGTGCTAAGCCGGGGTTGCCCGCAGTTGTCTAAAGTTGCAATTCCCAAACTGTGCTTCATGGTCCCCTGGTGGGCTAGGAGGTGGTACATGGCCCATGGACTCCCCTTCTAAGAGTTGGCCATGTTGCCTAGACATTCTAGACAGTTGTAGGCTCTTTAAGGCTTTTGAGTATGTTAGAAGGTGTAACGCGATCCATTGCTGGTGGCATGGGTGGCCACTGTAATCTCACTCTAACCCTATGGTATCCCTGGTACTCCCTGTCCTCACCTGCCATGCTTTTGATGGTACTATTATACTCTGAGAAGTTGCCTCCAGAGAAACAGTGTGGGTGCCCTGCACCTTCGATCAGCACAGTCAGGGTCCATCTCCACTTCCCCATAGTGCTTTGCAGAGCTCCCAGCAGTGAGCTCTTTCCTCCAGCTCTGTCCAAGTCTGACTGCCTTCTGCCTCCGATGCAGGGCTAATGCAGTAGCCCCTGGCTCCTCTCCCTTCTAATGAACTATCTTATTAACTCCAGCTGTTCATTACCTAGGGCTCTGCAGCCTTTAACCTCTGTCTACTGCCTAATACTCTCAGTAATAGGGCTGGGCTCCTATTACAAAGGATCTGTATGAGTGTTACTGAAATCACTATGAACTCTCACCAAAGGTGCATCGTGAGATGTGTTGGGCTAAAAGCACCCCACCTCTTAATTAAATTTGTTTGCTTTGGTACCAGTAAAGACAATCTGGTACTATGCTATATTGAGTGATTTCAGTATTTACTAAACCAGGGATGCTCAGCCTCTGGCCTGCAGGCCAAATGCAGCCTGTGGAGCATTGGAACCTGGCCCATGGGGCTCCTCCCAAGTCAGGAAATTTGGTGTCAGAGGAACAATAGCCATTAATAAGGCCACCTTCCCCACTTCATGCCACCAAATTTCAAAATCCCAAGCCCTACACAGCCGGTTGGAGCTGGGCTGCGCCTCCTGCCCCCAGCAGGACTGGGCTGTGCCCCCTCCCTCAACGTTTGGATCAGGGCTGGATTCAGGCCAGGCCATGATCTCTTCCTCCCCTCATTCCCCACTTGAGGCTGGGCCACAGCTCCCCACACAGGGCTGGGCCATGCCACCCCCTCCATATTTGGATCAGGGCCAAGTTGGGGCTGGGCTATGCACCCCCGCAAGGCCATACTCCCTTTCCCTGTGGGGCAGAGTTGGGACTAGATTATCCCCCTCTGTGGGAGTGGATGATGCTTTCCCTGCATGCTGGATCAGGACTACCAGCCAGATCCAGCCCATGGACTGATTGAGCACTGTGCATCTGGCCTTCAGGGGGGGAAAATTTGAACACCACTGTCGTAGACTGTCTTTGCCAGCACAGCGGTACTGAGAGGAATACTGAGTTAAATCAATTGACGTGCAACACAAATGTATCTAACATCCCTGAACTTTCTCCCAAAAACAGTTTTGCCAAAATAGTTTTATACATTACTAGTGTTCAAAACTTCCATCTTTTACAATTTCAGTGCAAAACTTCTGTTACTGAAAGTGGGTGCTTTCTGAGTCTTCTATGGCAGTCCCTTGCAGCTGAGGATGACTGTTTTCCATGATTGTGTTTTATCTGTGTGTCTGAAGATGGTTTTTGGAGTGGGTTACACTGTATACAAATGTGATGTCTGCTATAACAGCAATTTAAAATAGAAGCTTCTCATCCTCTGGCATTCCTGGCATCAGGCTAGCCTCCTTTTATTTCAGTTTCACAGTATCATCCACCCTTCCTCTCTTTTACCCATACACTTCTGCACTTGCAAGCATGTCAGTTTGAAGAGGCAAGTATAACTTCAAAGATGAGTGAATAAGTCATAGGAAAATATCTTATTTGACACATTTGGTCTTTTCTGTTTTTCTGAATGTCAGAGACTAGTTTAAGGTTGGCTGATTATTTGAAATTATTCATTAGAATGACTGTAGTAATAATATTTTAGATGTAGACTGTTCATGACCAGTTAGTTGCACATGTTCAATACCTGGAACTAGAGTGTATTTCTGTTCCATGCTTTGTACAAATGATGGCCATCAACTTGGTTAATACATGGGGCTAACAGCATGAGCTGCTATAGCTTGAGTGAAATCTCTTTAGCAGGGGTTGTTATAGGTTCATATTTTCAGCAAAAGAGTCACAGAGTGAGACCTGTAGGACACACTCACTAGTGCATTACATAAGCCTAACTTGTTGAATCTGATTTTTACTGTGAACACCTGCATGTATGCATTAAACATTCATTCTTGTGAATAACCTCCTGTATTCGCTGAAAACCAGTGTCTAAGAACTGCCTACAAATTATTTACTAGAATCCCAGCAGGTACAAGGATGATCCCTTTCTAAAATTGGTCATGGCAGCACCAGGCTTCTCTCTCTGTTCACAGAACCCGTCTTCAGCTCTCTGATGCAGCTACCAACACTGCATGATCTTTGGCTAAGAACATCAGCAAGAGTGCATGGGTGAGAGCAGTGAAGCAATATACCTCTATGCCCACAGCCCCTGTGCCTGGTTTGCCAGGGCCTATTGAGGATACTAATTCTTTTACAGCTTCACAGCTGTTTTGCACTTTAATTTCCCCAGCACCAGAGTTTAGCTGCACCACAGTTTACCCTGGTAGTTGGGTTGTTTAGCCATCTGACTGAGCCAAGAACTCTTTTTTCCAGGATACAGAAAGCCAGTGAAAAAAAGGCAGAAAAATGAAACCATCACCTCTTCACAAGGGCTGGTGTAGCCATTTCTTACCTTTATTTCAGGGGCTCACTCCTCTTCACACGGGACTACCAAACAATCCATTGTTCAGGCCATCTCCAGCCTTCTTCAGCACATCTGGTTTCCTCCTTAAAAGAGAAACTCAAACCAATCTTGCCATCCTCCTGATCTCTTCTACAATGAGGGAAGACTTTTTATCTTCAGCACAGTGTTAGCAGCCTACAGCTCCCATGATTACTGGATTACAAGTCCCAGAATCCTCATGCTTTTGGAAAGGTCCTAACAAGAGCAAGCTGGCTCTTTACCCTGCAAAGGGGCCAAACTCATATTGTGATGGGAATTGATCACTGCCACTGCTCCCTAACATCTACCTAGTAATATGATGATGGTGATGATATGCAATGAGTGCTTTGAGGTGAGATGATTACAGGCATCATATAATGATATACACTAAGTTTATCCAATAAAAACAATTCCAAGAAAGCCATAATGGAGAGAATTCTGTATAATAAGGTTAGTAACCTTTTGATTTAAAAAGATTCTGGCAGACACACAATGGTCTGATACTTAGTCTTCGGGTGGTGCAAGAACACAATTCTAGTCTAAGGAGAAAGTTTCCTCATATAACTGAGCATAAAATGTGAAGCTCTCATCCCACATACTGGAAACTAATAATACAGTATCCCAGCAATAATGTTCATGGAGGGTGCTATATAGTACGACAATGTCACATAATAAAAGCCAAAATGCATGGCTACAAAGGTGGTATCAGTGAAGCTTTGGCTTCCTTGACAACTGATTGATGTTCTGAGATAGAGTACTGCTGTGCAGGGATAAGATACTTCTAACGAAGATCAGCTTTTGGAAGAGAATCTTAGGACATCATCTGGCTAATCTGGCAATCTGGGGGGCTTTAAACTAGATTCCACTGGGGTGGCAACAAAAACCCACTGGATGATGTGTAATTAGGATAAAAAATGAGGATTAGGAAAGGGGACTAAATTCTTGCAAACCATAATACGGTTAAACAGGTGCAAGAAGAAAAACAGCAGTTATCTTTGATGTCTATACAGTATACTCTGTTTAAGTGCTTTAGAACAGTTACAGGGGGAAAAAAAGCAGGTGGCATTACACTGTGCGTCAAGGATGTATATGCTTGTTCCAGGGTCCAAAAGGGAATGAGAGCTGATGAATGCATCTGTGTGAACATAAACAGGGCATGGAATAGTAGTGATGCTATGGTGGCGGTCCATAACAGACCATCTAATCAGAAAGAGGAAGTGTATGAGAGATTCTTCAAGTAGGGAACAAGAATATCCAAAATGCATGAGCTACTAAGAGTGGAAGTTTTAACTTCTCTAATACCTGTTGGAATAAAAAATACAGGAAAACATAAAATGTTCAGCTAGTTCTGTTTCAGAAAGTTCAGGTATTTTTCCTAAGTGCTATATTTGGTTTTTATTGTGTCGTGGGAACAACTTATGAGCACACTGTAAGCTACAGATATCTAAATGTACTTGTGTTAGTGATCATACTTGTGTGATTTTTAGGCAAGCTTTCTCAGGTAATCAGAAAAGCAGATTAAAATGCTAAGATGTCAACTTGGCATCAACATCCATACCTTGAATAAGTGTCTTCAAATGCATGTTTCTGTAACAACACCTAAAATAGTTGTTAATTTTCAAGGAGATTGCAGGTGCACCAGGAACAAATAAATTCAGGGAACAATAGTAACTGCTTAGAAACTAAACCAGTTTTATGTTCACTTTCAGCTGTCCGTTGATCTTTACTACACAGAAGATGAAATTTATGAGCTTTCATATGCTCGAGAGCCAAGAAGTCACCGAGCTGCAGTAAGACACCTATTTTCTTTCCAAAATCTTAACAAAATGATTTAAGGACAGTAATGTGTACCTTTAATTCCTTTTATTCACTTTTAATTTAATCCACAGTACGTGGAAGGCATGGCATTGTTTAATATATCTTTACATTACACAAAGTGAATATGAGTGAAGCTTAAATAGTAATCACTCTCTATATTAGAGGCCTGATTCTTCTCTTGCTTATGTCATGCCAGTGTAACACCATTTTTTCAATTAGCATTATTCTTGACTTATATTAACATGAGCAGAGACACCAGTCCTTATCCCTTTGATTTTAAACATTAGGTCTTCTAAATAAATAGTTCTTGTATAATTCCCAGTAATCAGATAGAAGTTTTTCTTTAAATATTTATTTGCTATTTTTATAGCTTTGTGGAAAATAAAGTGACTTATGTTGTATAAAACTGATTTACTGTTAATCAAAATATACAGGACTGAATTATACTAACAGTGGAAAAATAATTACTACTTCTCCCTTTAAATTGATATAAATAATGAAAAATAGAATTATATACCACCACATTAACCATAACATATGGATTAAACAGCTTCTGCAAAATAGAACTGTGTTACTATCCAACAGATCAAGAAGCCTCAAAGTTCCTAACAAGAGGCAAAATAGATTAAATACTTGTACGATGAAGCAAAAATACTGTCATAGAGGAGAAACTTGAACAGAAAACAGAGCCAGATATAAGCAATCATAAACCATGTGGCATCAGAGGCTCCATATTAATGCTATGCTACACCATACTAAGGCTTCATACTAAGACCTAATCCATCTAGAAAATGAGAATGACATGTCATAATTCAGGTTAGTCAAGATTTTAAAAATATTGTGATAGGTTTCAGAGGGAAAAGGGGGCAAAAAGATGGCAGATGATAGTCAGGAGTAAAAAAATATAAAGTACCATACCTTTGAGGGAGTAATTACTCATTTGAATTATTCCTACAGTTAACTGAGATAATCAGTAAATTGTAACAAGTTGGGAAGAGCATCTAGGACTGACTGGCTACCCCATTCAAGGCCTTCCTCTGAAATAGCTGGTATATTTCAAAAGAATATTTCAGAGATAGGACTTTGGATTAGAGCAGTGGCTCTAACCTTTTTAAACTGAAGGGACCCCTTGGAATATACCAGCTCTTAGTTTTCACTTTTTTTTTTACTACAGAAAAATAACAGAGCAGTTTTTCTAGTGCAAATAACTAAGAAAGGCCACAGGTATGGGTTTCTATTTGAAATCTCTGGGTTTATCCTGTGAATCATGTTTATAAATCTAACAGTGCTTACACTGTGTGGTACCCTGTGGCATCCTTGAAAGGATTTCAAGGCACCCCAGGGTGCTGTGGAACCTTGGCTGAGAATCACTGGATTAGAGGGACCATTAGTTTGATCCTCTATAGTAATTCCTATGTTCCAGTTAGCTAAGGTGAAGAACCTAGGGATTGAAAATACTTGATGTTATGACAGTAAGTTTCTGTGATATTTATTTTAGCCTTTGACACCTTCCAAACCACCAGTAGTTGTGGACTGGGCCTCAGGTGTTGCTCCAAAACCTGATCCAAAGACCATCAGCAAGCGTGTTCAGAGAATGGTGGATGTAAGTATGGTCAGCCCATTTAATGTATATTTTTTGTTTAATTTTTTAGTTGTATCTGGAAAAAAGTATGTAATGAGGAGCTGTGTCCTAAAAAGTGGACATATTCAAAGCTACATGTAAATGTAATATTCAGAATACTACATTTTTAAAAACATAATGGTAGCAGGTAACACTGCACTGACAGTATGAAGGAAGTGGTCTGCTACGTACAATGTTGTTTGGGAGACTGAGGTGTTTCCATTATCCAGTCAGACACAGTTAGACATATGCTTACTGACTGCTATTTTTTTTTAATATGGTATGTTTTACAGAGGCGTTTATGAAATGTTTGGCAGTGAGAATTTCAGGTTAAAGCTAAGATAACTTTTAATTTAAAAATTAGGGCCTGATACTAACCATGATGCTGATTGGTACTCATGCATACAAGAAGTTCCACTGAACTCAATGACACTTGACAGAAACAAGGATTGTAGAATTGGGCCCATATATCTTGATTCTGCAAGATGCTTCAGCATATAAGCAATCCCATTGACTTAATTGCAACTGTGTACAGGCTCACTTTTTTTTTTACACTGAATTGAGAACGCAGCCAGGATAAATGTCTGTGGGTGACCTACACATGCAAGATAAGGTACAATATGTTATATTCAGGTATTTAAAATTCATCCAGCTCTTTCTGTTAAGTCCATGTACACCATTGCACTTGCACATTTCATAGATTTTATAGACATTAGGGCTGGAAGGGACCTCGGAAGATTGTCGAGTCCAGCCCCCCACCCAAAGGGCAGGAAGTCAGCTGGGGTCATAGGATCCCAGCAAGATAAGCATCCAGTT